TCTTTGGCTCCTTTGTCGAATATCAGCTGGCTGTAGGCCTGTGGATTTATTTCTGGATCTTCTATTCTGTTCCATTGGTCTTCGGGTCTGTTTTTGTGCCAGTATTATGCTGTCTTTGTTATTATAGCTCTGTAGTAGAGTTTGAAGTTCAGCATGGATAGCCCTCCCATATTGTCTTTATCCCCTAGAATTGTTTTGGCTGGGTTTTGTTTTCTCTTTTCATTATTTTGCCACTCCTGGGCTTGAAGTCAGGGCTGGGTGCTGTCCTTGAGCATATAGTGTCTGTCACTTCGGTTGTTTTTTGAGTAGTAGGTCGTTGGAGGCAAGAGTCTCATGGACTTTGTTGCCTGAGCTGGCTTTGAGCTGTGATTCTTAGATCTAAGTATGGTTGTTGTTGTTTTTTTTTTTTTGGCGGGGGAGGTTGGTTGTAGGGCTTGAACTCTGGGCCTGGGCACTGTCTCTCAAGGCTGAAGCGCTCTACCACTTGAGCCACAGCACCACTTCTGGTTTTCTGGTGGTTTATTGGAAATAAGAGTCTCATATACTTTCCGGCCCAGGCTGGCTTTGAACTGTGATCCTTAGATCTCAGTCTCCTGAGTAGCTAAGATTACAGGTGTGAGCCACTGGCGCCTGGCCCAGGTATGTTTTATAGAAAAATTTAAATGGTGTAGTTTGACCTGAGCCTTAAATACTGGATGGATATTAATTCCATATTTAAGAGATTATAACTTATAGGTGTTGAAAGCCCCTGAACACACTTGAGCAGATGAGTGTGACTGGAATGATACAAAATAATGATAGAAATAGTAATATGGTTTTATCATTCTGGACAAGAGACAATCATATGTCTTTAAGACCAAAAATTAAGACAGAGATGTTTAGACCAGTTCAGGCCAACAATAATTGAGAAGAACTGTAGTTGTGTGAAATGATAGAGCAATTTGGAAGGAGACTTGAAAATATTGGACTTGGTTCAACATTCTGATAAAGCAAATTTGGTTATATTGAAAGCAGAACAGTCAGTAAAACATATAAGCAACTTAAGAATGCTAGATGTTCTCTTGTAAGTAGAAAAGAAGGCTGTAAATATTCGCTAATACTGTTTTTTTGGAGCTGGTAGGAGGGACTTAATTTTGAAGATAGAATATCTCTTTCCCTGAAGACAGAAAGTAATGAGGTATGTGAAGATGGAAAAGTTTATGTAGAAAAGTATGTGGGGATAACTTTATTCATGGCAGGTTATCTCTGAAAATGAAGTAACAGGTGGAGTATTTTAGGAATCTTTTCTTATAGGCTGCTTTCTTATTTCTAATTTTATTGATTAGAAAGGAGTATCCTGTGATAAAGTATGTATACACCTATGTATACACCTTGTATTCTTTGAATTTAAAATTCATGAGCCCATTATGCTTGCTTTTGATCACAAAAACTCTTTATAAGCTTTAATGTCCCATTTCTTTCTCTTCGTTACCATTTTGCTTTTTCTTTACCAGCATATGAGTATTATTGGAGCTTAGGATATGAGAGATGATTTTTTTTTTTTTTGTCAGTCGTGGGGCTTGAACTCTGGGCTTGGGTGCTGTCCTTGCGCTCTTCAGCTCAAGGCGAGTGCTCTACCACTTGAGCCACTGCACCACTTCTGAGAGATGATTCTAATTTTGTCATGATAACTTGCTGGATCTTCACTTGGACATTTGGAAACTGGTAGAGTTAGCCCATTTTTAGATGCAAACATGGTTTACCAAGAAGTACATGAAAAGGACAACAACAGCTTGTTTACTGTTATGCTAAACAAATGTTTTCTACTTTAGGATATAAATCAGTTTGGCATATAGATGCAATTTTTAAGCCTGAGAAAGAGTAAAAATAATAATTATATTCCAGTGAGAAATATATGGCTAGTATCCCTTTCTGGATTTCTGTTTTAAAAATTGGAAGATTATATTTTCTAAAACACTTATTCATCTAATTCCTTCAAGAAACAGAATTTGTTGGATATCAGAATGATATAACTCAATCCTAAGCCACCATGTTTGTGTGTTTGTTTGTAGAAATACAAAAATAAGAGAGACCATAACTACATATTGATTATCAATACTGTTTAAAGTAAATTCCAAATAGAAAACAGCTTCTGAGTAAGTCTTCAGAATTAAACTTATTACAACAGTTCATAGGAACATGATTTTTAAAAGTAAAATATGGAGTTTCAAAAAACATTTTTCCCAACAGGTGGGAAGGAGAAACCAAAAACAAATGCAGAAGACTTACAAATTAAAAAGGTAAAGAAGAAAAAGAAAAAGAAACACAAAGAAAATGAAAAACGAAAACGTCCAAAAATGTATAGCAAATCTATTCAGACCATCTGTTCAGGATTACTGTCTGATGTTGAAGATCAAGAAACCAAAGGCATCCTGAGTGATACCATAAAGGATTGCATTGAAAAGAATTTGGATACCAAGAATTACGATTCTAAAATTCCAGAGAACAGTGAGTTTCCATTTGTCTCATTAAAGGAACCACGAGTTCAGAATAGCCTCAAAAGGTTGGACACTTTGGAATTTAAGCAGCTTATTCATATTGAGCACCAGCCTAATGGAGGAGCATCAGTTATCCATGCCTACAGTAACGAACTCTCCCACCTGTCTCCTATGGAGATGGAGAGGTTTGCAGAAGAATTTGTGGGTCTAGTGTTCAGTGAAAATGAAAACTCTGCAGCTTTCTATGTTATGGGTATTGTTCATGGGGCAGCTACTTATTTACCTGACTTTTTAGACTACTTTTCATTTAATTTTCCCAATTCACCAGTGAAAATGGAAATATTGGGAAAGAAAGATATAGAAACAACGACTATGTCAAATTTTCATGCTCAGGTAAGAGGTTTTTAGTTTCATTTTTTAAAAAATAGTTCTTAATTGTACATTTTAGACAGATTTCTATTTTTTGTTTCTAATCTTGTAGGTTTGAAATAAAAAGGTAAGCATATAAAACATTTCAAAGTTTTAAGAGATTTTCTTGATGTAAATATTCGAGTTTAAATTTGTTTCTACTTTTTTTCTTAAAGATGATTAATGAACTTAAGATTCTGTACATTTTTTTGGGCGAAGTTTTGTCTTAGACCTAATAAAATTAAACTTAACCATGTATTTTATGATCTTTAAATAGTTTTATTTCCTAAAAACCATCTAAAATGTCTTGTTATAATGTTTATGAAGTGCTTAATGTGGGACCATCACAAAGAAGATGCTGAGAATGAATATTGATTATTAAATATATTGTGGGACAAAGGAGTTACCACTTATGTGTAATTATGTAAGAATATTAGGGCATATATTAAGTTAATTTCTGTTTCTTCCCTTCTCTATAATGTATAACAGTTGATTCTAGAACATTGACAAAATTGAATTCACTATCTTTTTTTTTTTTTTTTTTGTGGTTGTGGGGCTTGAACTCAGGGTGCGGGTGCTGTCCCTAAGCTTTTTTACTCAAATCTAGCACTCTGCTACTTTGAGCCACAGCGCCACTTCTGGTTTTTGAGTGGCTAATTGGAGATAAGGGTCTTGCGGTGACTGTCCTTCCCAGGCTGGCTTCAAACCATAATTCTCAGATCTCAGCCCCCTGAGTAGCTAGGATTATAGGTGTGAGCCACTGGCAGGCACCCAGCTAGAATTCACTAGTTCTTGAAAGTAATTGTAGGCCCATCTAAAAACCCATTGTCATTGTTCTCAAAATTAGGAGTTACTAAGGCTATGAGATTGGACATGTGTATTGCTGCTATGGTATTTTTTTTCTAGGCATAGTAATAATCAACAATATAGTTTACAAAGAGGAGAAAGGTAAAGAAAGTCTCAGGGATTGTAGTAAACATTTTATCATAACTCTTTTGTACCTTCAGATACGCCATAATAGTAGTGAAGTAACTTACTATTTTAGAGTCATCACTACCAGGAATAGAACATATTCACCCTAATCTTTAGGATCTTTTTTTTTTTTTTGGTCAGTTGTGGGGCTTGAACTCTGGGCTTGGGCGCTATCCCTGCGCACTTAAGCTCAAGGCGAGTGCTCTACCACTTGAGCCACAGCACCATTTCCGGTTCACTAGTAGTTAATTGGAGATAAGAGTCTCAATGGACTTTTCTGCCCAGGCTGAGCATGAAAATTTGACATAGTCGTTGTTTCTATATCTTTCTTTCCCAATATTTCCATTTTCACTGGTGAATTGGGAAAATTAAATGAAAAGTAGTCTAAAAAGTCAGGTAAATAAGTAGCTGCCCCATGAACTGGCTGTAATCCTCAGATCTCAGCCTCCTCAGTAGCTAGGATTACAGGCGTGAGCCAACGGTGGCGCCTGGCTTTAGGTTTCTTTACCTTATTCTCATATATTCTTTTTGTCAATTGATATTCAAGATAAGATCTCCACCTTAAATTATAGTTGAGATATTCAATCATGCTCATATGTCCTAGCTAATACATACCATATGCTTGGTGTGTATTCTGTAGTGTAAAGTAGCCTAGAGATGTTTAATGTGTGTAATATGTAGAAGGAATTACTTCCAAATGTAGTGTGTTTGAGAATTAGAATTTAAATTTCGTTATTTTTTTAGAATGGGGAGAGAGTTAGATTATTAAAATAGAATGGCTATAAACTTTTCTGGGATTATACCTGAGTTTGGCTGCAGAACCAAGATTAGCATTTAATAATAGTGTGCACCATTTATTGAATACTGACTGTCCCAAAGACTGTTGTAAATTTTGTATGTAATAGCTCACTTAATCTTCATTACAATATATTTTAACAGTCAAGTTGCAGATACACTAAATGGGCATGTGAAAGAAGATACAACTGCCTCAAAGTCCATTAGTGGTAGATTATTTCATACATAGATCCTTACAAGGATTTACTGCTAAGCCATGCCTCTGGTTCTGCTTTTCATTGCTACTTTTAGGGTGAAGTCTTGCTTCTCAACTGAGTGTTCACCTTAGTTATAGTCTGTCTACTTTAGGTAGACTTTTTGCAGTTGCTAGGATCACAGGTGAGCACCACTACATTCATTTTCTGTCTGTAGATTTGTAGTCTAGTGGACTTTGCTTGTGCTGGCCTTTCCTGCAATTCTTTCAGATCTTAGCCTTCCAAGTAGCTAGAATTATAGGCATGAGCCACTAGCCCCTGCCAAGAACTTCTACTTTAAATATCTACTATGAGCAATATGAAAACTGCTTTTGCTATCAAATAAATTGAGCTGCCAAGACAGGTGTGTAATCCCAGCTACTTGGGTGGCAGAAGGGAAAGTAATGGATCACAAGTTCAAGACCAGCCTTGACAAATTAGGTCAGGGCTAGTGGGAGTGCTCTCAAGTGGTAAACAGTTGAGTATATGAAAAGCCCTAAATTTAATTCCCAGTACTGGGAAAAAGAGTCTCGTTTTATATCTTAAATCCTTTCTCGATTTTATATCTTAAATCCTTTATGTGGCAAACACATTTTTTCAATTGCCAGCTGGGGTTTTGGCCCATATCTCTGGTCTATCCTCCTGACCCACACATGTTAGCTGCAGGATTATTTTGCTTCCTTATCTGTAGTTTTGTTTTGTTTTTTCTCTTTTGCAGGTTGTGGGGCTTGAACTCCAGGCCTGGATTGTGTCCCTAAGCTTGTTTGCTTAAGACTAACACTCTATACTTGGAGCCACAACTCCACTTCTGGCTTTTTGATGGCTAATTGAAGATAAGAGTTTTATGGACTTTTCTTCCCAGGCTGTGATCCTCAGATCTTAGCTTCCTGAGTAGCTAGGATTACTGGTGTAAACCCTTGATACTTAGCTTCTTAGCTGTAGATTTAAAGGCAAGAAAAGGACATGTGCCCATCCTCTTATTCCTATGAAGTAGAGAAGAAAATATAGTGAACTTCCCTGAACTGCTCATTTGATATTTTTCTTGTGTTAGACTCTTGTGTTTTTTGAGGGAAGGAGACTGAAGGTTTTGTCAAAGTGGGCTTATCCTTGTGTACTGGCTTTATGAAACTAAAGTGGGATCTAAAAGACATTATAGTCAAACTCATTTTAGTTCTATTTCAAATCTCTTTTATCTTTTTTTTTCTCTTTTATCTTTCCAGTAAAGCTAGTTCCTCTTAACCTAATTTGTGGCATCTTCCAGGAAATTTTTTGTGTGTGCCTATTCTGGGCTTGACTCAGGGCCTGAGCACTGTCCCTGACCTTTTTTGTTGTAAGCCAGCACTGGACTACTTGACCCACAACTCTACTTCTGGCTTTTTTGGTGGTTAATTGTAGATAAGAGTCTCACAGAGGGCTGGGAAGGTGGCTCAGTGGTAGAATGCTTGCCTTGCATTCATGAGGCCCTGGGTTCGATTCCTCAGCACCACATAAGCAGAAAAAGCGGGAAGTGACACTGTGGCTAAGTGGTAGAGCGATAGCCTTGAGCTGAAAAGCTGAGGGACAGCACCCAGACCCAGAGTTCAGGCCCCATGACTGACCCCCCCCCCAAAAAAAAAAAAAAGTAAAATAAGTAAATAAAGAGTCTCACAGACTTTGCTGCCTGGGCTAGCTTTGAACTGTGATCTTCAGATTTCAGCCTCCTGAGTAGCTAGGATTATAGGGAGAACCACCGGTGCTTGGTAGCAATTTATTTTTTTTAAAAGGCATTTTACTGAAATATAATATGTGCGTAGAAAAGCTAGCACATTACAGATGAATAGCTTGATGAGTGCTTATAAAGTAAAGGTAGCCATGATGTAAAATGTTATATATTACTAGTAGCCAAGCCTTTCCCAAACCCTCTTCATCATTGCTCTGCCTACTCTAGCCCACTAAACACCCAGGTATTCACAATACTGACTTTAAATACCACTGATAAATTTAGGTTGAACTTTAAACTTTTATTTAATGGAATTAAACAGTACATTCATTGTTATATATGGTTTCTTGTATTTAGTGTTATGTTTGTGTTATTCAATCTTTGACCATCCCTCTGTCCCTCTGTCCCTCCCCCCCTTAATGCTTCCTGTATGCTAGGTAAGCAGTCTGCTATTTGAGTTATGTTCCTAGCCTGCTATGTTTTTTTTTTAACTGCTATATAGCAATCCATTATAGGATTCTATCATGATTTAATTATCCTGTTTACTCTAAATAGACATTTAAGTTGTTTCCATTGTGGACCTATGGCAAAACAAAGATATTATGAATATATTTGTACATGTTTGATGATCTTATGTGTTTCTTGATTTGAGTATACACAATTGAGTATATAAGACTGGAATTCAGGATTAAAGAAATACAAGATTCAGTTTTGATAGACCTACTATTTCCAAAGTTATTGTGCCAGTTTACATTTCTACCAGCAACTGCATTTTTGGTTATATTTAGGAGTAATTGTCTTTGGTTTTTCTATTTTTTTAGTTAAGTTGGTATTTATATAGTGGTACCTCCCTATGGTTTCATTTCTTTTTTCCTGATGACTAAGGATGTTAGCTACCTTTTAAAATGATTATTGTCAAGTTGAATATCCTCTTTTGTAAAAAGAATCTGCTCTGTTATTTTCATATTTTCTTATTTGTCATTTTTCCTAATTTACAACTTATTTATATATTAACATGAAAAATCTTTGTTGTCAGCTAAATCCTAAGTATTTCTTCTTGCTTGGTATCTTGTTTGTTTTTTTCCTTCTTTTTTTTTCTGTACTGGTCCTGGAACTTGAACTCAGAGTCTGGATGCTGTCACTGAGCTGTTGTGCTCAAGGTCAGCACTCTGCCCCTTGAGCCACAACTCTACTTCTAGCTTTTTGTGGTTAATTGAAGATGAGAGTCTCACAGACTTTCCTTCCTGGTCTGGCTTTGAACCTTGATCCTCAGATCTTAGCCTCCT